ATCAATATCACATTTGTAATCATGCTGCTTTTTTGGAAAAAACGTTAGTCTTCGCGTGATACTAATTAACTATATGAAATTATATAAATATATAAATTTCTGCTCCCATATCTTGACTTTTGTGATCATTCTAAATTTTTTTAAAAACTGAATCATGCAGTGAAAGAACGTGCACTGGTCTAACCTACTTGACTTCCTATTGCCTTAGCTAATTAACTTTAGCTAACTTGATAGCTCTCATGAGTCATGGATAGGATAATTAGCTGTAAATTCGAGGCACAGGTAGCTTAGTATGTTGTTCATCACCACTCACCTCAACACCAAGACAAACACAGCTGGAAAGGGAGGGAGGGCTTCACTTCTGCGGCTCTCTGCATGTCTGTGATGTGATGTGCAGCTGATCAATGTGCGTTACACGGCCTTATATTATATTTTAATTCTGTATTTGTTTGACAGGGACAGCTGTGCGCAAACAGAAACACACAGACGCACACATATATACATATATTCATTTATTAAAAAAAAAAAAAAAAAACTCCCCAAAAAAAGGGCACTTTCTCTCAAGGAAGGAAAAGGGCAGGTGCTCAAGCCCCCTTTGATGTCTATGTGTACACGTGCCTGCACACAATACCTACACACATACACAAATTGCGAGAATGTTTGGAGTGTATTTTTCATCTACTATTTTTTTTTATCACTGATATATTTACCAGAGCTTTTGTGTAAAAATCTAAACAGTATAAGCATTACAGGATGGCTTGTTACATGGCTTATTAAAATGAAAATGAATGCTATGTATCTTTATTTATTTCATAGATTTATTTGGGTCCTCATACATGCATACATTCTAAAATAAAAGTAAAATATTTCTAAAATAAAAATAATATACATTTTATTTATACAAAAATAAATACTATACTAAATACATATTTTTACATATCAGCTGGAAAAGGTGTAGACTGGAGCCTTAGCTTATTTTACCTACCTTTTTTTCATAATAAGCATCCCTTTCACTCCTAAATGTAATCAATACAAAAAAACAAAACACACTTAGTTAAGACAACATTTTTATATGTGTCCAAATTATAGGTTACGTTTTACCCTGTATGATTAGGTAACTTACACGTTTATTGTACCATTATAATGCTCTTTTTGTTCCCTGTTTACATTTTCTCTCATTACATTTTTACAGCTCTTCAGCAGCGCATCAGCAGCTCTTCAGCAGCTCTTCAGCAGCGCATCAGCAGCTTTTCAGCAGCTCTTCAGCAGCGCATCAGCAGCTTTTCAGCAGCTCTTCAGCAGCGCCCAATAGTCTTTGCGCTAGCGCAGTGACGTCATGACGGCCCGCTGCTCCTTAGAATAAAAAGAAGCGGGGAAGTGAATCCTGAGCAGCACTGCAAAATGCTAGATTCTCTTGCTTTGCTTTTGGAGAAAACCTTTCTTCTCGCACATTTGAACTTTTTCAGCCCAGCTTCATCCAAACAAGAAAGATGCGCAAAGCGCCGCGAGGACAGCACTTATTTCCAGCGCGGGGATCTGCTGGAGGTTCCTCGCACTTTGTTCACTCATTTTGGCATTTATCTCGGTGACAACAAAGTCGCGCACCTTATGCCTGACATACTGCCGGTTCTGACGAGCAACAAGTCTCAAATCCAGAAAGCTGTGACGAACAAGAGATTGCTCCTCGGTGTGATCTACAAGTACGCTTTGGTACGGGTCGACACGGTGGAGGATTTTGCCTACGGATCTCCTGTATTGCTCAACACAATGGATACTACCCTGAGAAGACAGCCGCTGGCCGCTGAGGAGGTCGCCAGAAGAGCTGAGAAACTTATCGGTCATATTCCGTATAGTCTTCTGTGGAATAACTGCGAACATTTTGTCACGTACTGCCGCTACGGGACAGCGGTCAGTCTGCAGACAGAGCAGGTAAACGCGGTCGGCTGCCATCCGCACGCTTTCCTTGTGAATCGACCCGTGCGTACTCCAGATAGTAGATTGGAAGTTAATGATTAAATGATACCAATTTATTGAATTTCTGCTTTGGATGTTACGCACAGATATACACTAGCAAGATTCGTTTAAAAATAGATGGATAGAAATACAGATGAAGTTTGCACAGGGACGATTAGAAAAAGTTTTGATAAAAACTTTCATTAGTTTCAGCAGAAACGTAATTTAAGGCTTAAACGGATTAATATGTAGCCTACATTAATTTATGTAGATGATAGGCTAGGCATATAGCTTAAACAAATCAGTATATGATGTTAAAAACGAGTTTGTGACATAAAAATGTGTTCTTTGAAATGTATTTTACTCTTAAAAAAATGACTAAAATGTTGAAAATATTGTTGTTATCGTTATTGTCTTCTTTTATATTATTTTATTTATGTAATTGTATTATTATTATTTATTTATTACAAATATTACGATTTTTTTTAGGTTTCTTATTATCTTCCATTTGAACTAAATGAACTAACAAAACATGCCTTTTTGTAAATGTTTAAAATAAGTTTTCTTCTCTTTTTTTTATTTATTAAAATTGTATAATTTAGGCAGTCGTGAGGATCTAAGGGAGTCTTCTCTAAGGGTTTCTTGTCACATGACAACAAAATGGCTTCCTGTATTTTGTTTTCGCCACCCTGAGATTAAATTTGGCAAACGAACGTTTTTAATATTATACATACATTTATTATCACATGGCTACTTGTTTACTTTACAAACAAAATCTACAAACGAATGACCTAAATGACCTTAATTAAAAAATACTAATAAATACTTGTTTAATGTTTTCAGCTATTATTTGTACAAACAGATATAAAGTGCTACTAAAAGAAAGTATTAGGCTACTTAAAGTTAGTAGCCTACTCCCAAAGATGCTCTTTTGAAGTGCCAGATTGGCGTTTAGTGCTGGGTGTTCCCCTTTCCACCTCTCTTTAATTTCTTGCTCCCATCTCCAGAGACAACGTATTTTTTCACGTCAGTTGGCTGACCGAGAGCTTTTCGGAAAATCTGGGTCATTTTAGCGCAAGAAGGAACAACGGCTTCTTTCAGTGGCAAGTGGGGTTGGAGAGATACGCGGCCAGAAAAAAAACATAGCAGCACCGTCTCAGATGCGAACGACAGATTGTTTTTTTGTTTGTTTTAGCGCTCTGAATCTCATCTATTCCATCTCTTTCCCTCAACAGTTCTGTGAAAATTTAAAATCAGTAATCCGGGACCAGAGGAGTGTTCTTCTGACCACTTTCATCGGAATGCTTTCCATGTTTTTTCTTGGAATAGCGCCGTCCACCGCACTTCCAACCTTTATCATTCCTTTCATCTTGTGGATGGCTGGATGAGAGACACTTCAAATCTAAACCCTTACGAACTATTTAATGTAGAAAAAGTTTGTATTTTTGGCTTTATTATAGAATTGCTAACTTAATCTTTTTCATTGTTTTTACCTTCATAGCCTATTAAAATTTTACTTTGTTGTAAATTTTTATGACACCCTTTTTTGAAAACATATTGTACAGTTTTAGCAAGTAATTAAATGTAAATTCAAATGACAAAATGGCGTTTTATATGCTTTTGCCTAATTATAGCACAAATGCAGGCTAAATAGAATTTCATTTATTTTCTTTTTTTTAATTTCACAAGGTTCCATGAAAAACCAATGGAACCTCTTTTTATAAAGAAGTGGAAAAAAGTTCTTTAGATTATTAAAATGTTCTTCAGACTATAAGAAAAAAAGTTTCTTGATGTTCCTCCTTTCATCTTGTGGATGGCTGGATAACAGACACTTCATGTCTAAACGCTTATGAACTATTTAACCTATCAAAAGTTTGTATTTTTGGCTTTATTATAGAATTGCTAACTTAATCTTTTTCATTGTTTTTACCTTCATAGCCTATTAAAATTTTACTTTGTTGTAAATTTTTATGACACCCTTTTTTGAAAACATATTGTACAGTTTTAGCAAGTAATTAAATGTAAATTCAAATGACAAAATGGCGTTTTATATGCTTTTGCCTAATTATAGCACAAATGCAGGCTAAATAGAATTTCATTTATTTTCTTTTTTTTAATTTCACAAGGTTCCATGAAAAACCAATGGAACCTCTTTTTATAAAGAAGTGGAAAAAAGTTCTTTAGATTATTAAAATGTTCTTCAGACTATAAGAAAAAAAGTTTCTTGATGTTCCTCGAAAGGTTCTTTGGGGAACCCAAAATGTTTTTTCTATGGCACCGCTGTGAAACCTCCGTTTGGAACCTTTATTTTTACAGTATGAACATAAATGAGACTTTTTAATATAATTAATTAATAATAAAACATTTTTACATCTACATTTGTGTTTATGTTGTCAGTTGTTTACCAAAAACAATAAACATCAGTTGTTTCAATTATTAAAAATGTACAGTTTAACTTTAAAATTGTTAATTAATGTTTGTCTGATCAGGCGTAAGAGTTGATTTTATCTGACCAATGAGAATCTTGAACAGTTCTATAATTAATTTTAAGGAATTATATATGGTCAATGCTGCAACATTTGTTCATTATACAATGAGCATTGCCTTTCTTTGTTACATAAATAGAAAACGTTAAGTAATTTAATCCACAAAGGGTGAGAAAGTCATTGAGTAACTATGAATTGTTTGTTTCATTAGGCATGTGATGTACTTATGATGGAGTTTTTTCTGAAAATAGCTCTGGGTTTGTAATCCTCAAGCTCCTCCCCAGTCTGCCTCAAGTGGGATAAAATCTGCAGGTGTCAGACCATCTAGAAGCTCACCGCATCTCCAGGATGTTTCCTCTACAGTTCCTCTACAACTTCTTTTACATCGCTGTGGTCACAGACTTTGAAGAAAAGAAGAAGAAAGTGGTCCAGTATGACACCTCCACGTACAAAAGAGGAGATCTCCTAGAGGTCCCTCGAACTCTCTTTACACATTTCGGAATCTATCTGGGGAACAACCGCGTGGCTCACCTCATTCCTGATATCCTGCCGGGCTTGACCACCGACGAGAAGGCCATTGAGAAAATGGTGACTAACAACCGACTGATTTTGGGTGTGATAGCAAAAAAAGCAAGTGTCCGGGTAGACTCCTTGGAGGACTTTGCGCATGGAGCAGAAATTCTGGTCAACCACATGGACAAGGTGTGCAGTCGGTCTCCGTTCGAGGGTGAGGAGGTGGCTCGGAGAGCCGAGAAGCTCTTGGGCTCCGTGGTTTACAGTCTGCTGTGGTACAACTGCGAGCATTACGTCATGTACTGCAGATATGGCACCAGCATGAGCTTTCAGACCTACCAGGTGAGATTTTTCAGCAGAGAAAGGGAGCAAAATCAGTCTAAATCTGCTAACAAACCATGAAGAAATAAATAAATCAAAGAGGTTATCAGAATTATTTTCCTGAAATAATTCATCTGAAGCTCTTTGGTAGGCCTACTTGTGAATATCTTTCAATATTATCAACAACTTTAACATTCGGTGCTAAATTATAGTTTCTTAGGTTGCTTTTGTTAGACAAAAACAGCTAAGAATGCATTTGTAGATGTATTGGTCCATGTCAACATGAACTTGCGTAATCAGAGTAGCCTAAAGGAGTAACTAAGGAGTCTTAGAATTCATTAAGCATCTATAGTTCTTTGCTACTTTCAATCAGTTAATGCGTGACATGACCGAGGATACTTTTTCAGCCATTGCATTGACTATCTTGGCATTAGGATGAAAATATATTAATTAGCATTGTAATGCTGACCAGCTATTGTTGGTGCACTAGGTTAAGGATGTGAGGCAATAGCACTAATTCCATTTCAAATGGGATTACACGCAAAAATCAGTTTAAGAAATGTACTGCTATTGAGAAATAAACCACTTTTATGTAAGGCTGTGCAGGGTTGAAGTACAGTAAAAGTGAACTGGAATAAATTAGTCTGGATAAATAAAATATATCTGTTTATATATTAGTATAGACTCAGGTCTGTAAGTGACATGTATTAAGGCTGTTTAAACCACAAAAGGCTCAGTTCGCAAACAGGTTAAAGAAAAACATCTATGAGCTGGTATTTAAGTTAATATATGCTAATTAAACAATGTTTATTGGTTCATTTAATGTTTAGAAATAAATATAGGAAAAGTCACTGTATAATTACCATCATGCGGAAGAGAACAGGCAGGATATCAAACGTGTTTAAATGATCTGATCATTGACCTTTGTGGTGTTTTATTCATTTATATTTTTATTCAGTTGCTCCAGTTGGTTTTGAGCAAGAATGTTAATCTGCAGATTCCAGGGAACGGGCTGTAATCTCTTTGAAACTCTTTCAACAAACACACACACATCTTGCTTTCTTTTTTTCAGTCCAAAGAAAGACGACGATATTCCAACAGCGTGATAAAACTAACCACGCTCCAGCTGTGGTGGAAACATGATTTTGCCACAAAAATCTAAAATGCAGGCCCATCAAAGGACAACTATTTTGTTTTTGTTTTGTTAGAGTGTCCAAATGATCTGTTTTCCATTAAATGAAAATTAACCATGGAAATCATGAAATCTGTGGTACACTTTTGAAAAATTGTGCATTTATACATTTGGGAAAATTCCACCAATGCAGCACTAAAGAAACTTTACTGTCACTTAAGAGAGACTTAAGCTCCCCAACTGACCTTTCTCATTTTTATATTTATAATTTTTTTAGAATGATTCTTCGGAATTCAAACGCAAAATTCTTAACTTTGTATTTCTTTCTTGTTTTCTCCTCAACAGTTCTGCAAAGTCGTGCGCAAGATTGTGTGCAGCAAAACAAGTTCTCTTTTAAGCTTTCTGTTATGCTTGTTCATCATGTTTTATATGGGGTCTGTGTCCATCTTTGGAATTTTACCCACACTTATAATCCCCTTCACTCTTTGGATGGCATCCTGAAATTGCTATTTTTTAGATCTTTTTTATTATTTTTTTATTTTTTACCATTGTTCATCAATGAGTTAAATATATAGTTGTTTATTACCCTGGGGCACCTATTGGGCCATTGTAAAAAAAAAAAAAAAAAAAATTATTAAACGCATATAAGAATGTGATTTTTCCAGTACTGACATGTTAAGATACATCAGATAATTTATTTTCTTACTGTTTGTTGTGAAGCAAAATAAATAATATAAATGTATATGTGAAAGATAACGATTATCATGTACTGTGCATGTATATTTATACAATACTCGAAGGTTCTTTAAATAATTCAATTTTGTAAAACCATGGTTTGTTAGTCAGTCTAAAAAGAAATAAAAATGCCATATAACTTTTTTGTTCTCTGTTTTTCACTGGACAATGCACAAGTTAAAAGTGAAGAAAAAAAAATCCCAGATTTTTCTCAGAATTTTAATGACCATTTACATGCAAACGTAAAGTGCAGATCAAATGAAGCTCTTCAGCGGAAACGCTTTGGCAGATCATTGGTTGAAACTCGACTGTCAGGTAAATAGTGTTTAACAGTTAGTCAAAAACATCGAACCGTCGGTTATCGAGTGTCACACAAAGTTATCTCCATATTTTACATTTCTTAATTCATTTATTGAGTGGCCAAAAGGTAAGAGAAGCTGTTTAAATGCATTCATATCAGTTTGGAGATTAGTTCCAATGTCATTTTTTTCCACGAGAGTTGAGAGAAGCGTCTCAGACATAACTTAAATTATAATATTAGTCTCACGCAGCTTGGTATATAAAATATATTCGACTAAAAATACTTGTTTGGGTCGACTTTACAGGTTCCCGCTATTTTAAATGGTTTGGCTGTTCTTTTGTCGTCGAATATGACGAACGTTTTTAATTCAAATTCTTGACTTAGATTTTTGTCACGACTATCGAAGTTTTTTTTATAAAATAGTGATTAATTTAATAAGGTATTGTTATTTTTATAGATATATATACATTAAATTCGTATAAGACCGTATATTTTGTTACTTGACAGCTCGGTAGTTATGATGCTAGTTAATTGTGTTTGCTAGCTGAGCTGCACTTACGTCATTTTAAGTAACTTTATCATATAAATGAAAGGCCTCGAGTGTGATACATTTAAGAGAAACCTGACACAAAGGCTTTCTTTGGTAGCACTGTGTTTTCTGAAGTGGTTATGGACGAAGGCAGCACCAATCAGCCGGCTGATAATAGCAAGATGGACAGCTCTAAAGAAGCTGCTCTTCTGGCCCTGATGGACAGGACAGGCTACAGCATGGTTCAGGAAAACGGACAGAGAAAGTTTGGTGGTCCACCTCCAGGTAAACTAGGAAATCTTACTGTACATTTCATCACATTGTTCAAATGTGAAGTAAATTGTATAAATGTGTATAAAAATAACATAACGTACACACACACACACACACACAAAGATAAATGTCTATAAAAGTAGCATAATGTACACACACATATGTATGTATATGTAATAAACTCTTGCCTTTCAAAAGGTTTTTCATTTTGGCTGACATGGGCACGGAAAATAATGTTAAGTGGATAATTAACCCCAAAATAAATAAAAAAAATATAATCATTTACTCAGACAGTTTGAGACATGAGAGTAAATGATGACAGAATTTTCATTTTGGGTAAACTTAGCCTGCAACCAGTAGCTAAATAGCTATTTAAGCATTATTTTAGGGTACTTTGTAGATAAATTAGCCTTTCTAATATCTCTGAATTCAAAAATGTTCACAGTTGTCTACAAACTCACAATGTGCTTTTTCGTCATACCCCCTTTTCACAATCCAATCAATTTAAGATAGAATAGATAGAATCAAACTTCAGCCCCTTTTCTTGCATAATACAATTACATTATGGTAGTAAAACGACCTGCAAATGCCATTTCATGTTGACTTTACAGTTTTCTGCTAGATTAATTCATAAGTATATGATTTATAAGTATTGAAAGTTTGTAAAGCTGTAAAACATTACTGTAATACAAATTTGTACAAGCATGCTAAATATAGTACAAACCTTATTTTTTACATAGCAAGATAGTGCCGTTCATAATAATTAACTAAATTATTTTCTTAGGTTGGGAGGGCCCTCCTCCTCCAAGAGGTTGTGAGGTGTTTGTGGGTAAAATCCCAAGAGACATGTATGAAGACGAGCTGGTACCTGTATTTGAGCGGGCCGGTCACATCTACGAGTTCCGTCTGATGATGGAGTTTAGCGGGGAGAACCGTGGCTATGCCTTCGTCATGTACACCACCCGAGAGGGAGCCCAACGAGCTATCCAGCTCCTGGACAACTACGAAATCCGCCCTGGGAAGTTCATAGGGGTATGTGTGAGTCTGGACAACTGTCGACTTTTTATCGGCTCCATCCCGAAAGACAAGAAAAAGGAGGAGATCCAAGAAGAGATGATGAAGGTCAGTATATGACACAACTGCACACATTAGAAACTACACAGAACTAAAACAATATGAAAGACATTGTGTGACACCATCTAGTGAACAAAAAATTAGCAAGATTTTTTTTTTAATACATTACAGAAACCATAATAAAACAGTCGGTTATGAACTAATGTCTAGTTGTTTTTGTATTGCAATTTTAAATACAGGTGACTGAAGGGGTCGTGGATGTGATTGTGTATCCCAGTGCAGTGGACAGGATGAAGAATCGTGGCTTTGCCTTTGTTGAGTATGAATCCCACAAAGCAGCTGCCATGGCTCGCAGGAAACTCATACCAGGTGCAAAAGCACGATAGAAATATATATAAACAATTATTTGTGGTTCTTTATATGGCAAGCATCACTATTTCTATTGCTCATACTTTTGGGGTTGTATTCATCAAAGAATCCTGAAACAATTTTGTGATTACACAAAAATATCAAGCAGCACAACTGTTCAACGTTGATAATAATAAATGCTTCTTGAGCACTAAATCAACATATGATTTCTGAAGGATCATGTGACACTGAAGATTGGAGTAATGATGCTGAAAATTCAGCTTTGCCATCACAGGAAGAAATTACATTTTAAAATATATTCAAATAGAAATTTTTTTTTGTACAATAATTTCGCACAATATCACTGTTTTGGATCCAATAAATGCAGCCTTGGTGAGCATAAGAGACTTCTTTAAAAAACATGAAAATGCTTACTGATCCCAAACTTTTGAACAGCAGTGTATATATATATATATATATATAGAGGTTGTGAGGTGTTTGTGGGTAAAATCCCAAGAGACATGTATGAAGACGAGCTGGTACCTGTATTTGAGCGGGCCGGTCACATCTACGAGTTCCGTCTGATGATGGAGTTTAGCGGGGAGAACCGTGGCTATGCCTTCGTCATGTACACCACCCGAGAGGGAGCCCAACGAGCTATCCAGCTCCTGGACAACTACGAAATCCGCCCTGGGAAGTTCATAGGGGTATGTGTGAGTCTGGACAACTGTCGACTTTTTATCGGCTCCATCCCGAAAGACAAGAAAAAGGAGGAGATCCAAGAAGAGATGATGAAGGTCAGTATATGACACAACTGCACACATTAGAAACTACACAGAACTAAAACAATATGAAAGACATTGTGTGACACCATCTAGTGAACAAAAAATTAGCAAGATTTTTTTTTTAATACATTACAGAAACCATAATAAAACAGTCGGTTATGAACTAATGTCTAGTTGTTTTTGTATTGCAATTTTAAATACAGGTGACTGAAGGGGTCGTGGATGTGATTGTGTATCCCAGTGCAGTGGACAGGATGAAGAATCGTGGCTTTGCCTTTGTTGAGTATGAATCCCACAAAGCAGCTGCCATGGCTCGCAGGAAACTCATACCAGGTGCAAAAGCACGATAGAAATACATATTTAAAAATATTTATTTGTGTTTCTTTAATATGCCATGCATCACTATTTCCATTGCTCATATTTTAAGTGGGTATTTATCAAAGCATACTGAAAAAAGGATCATAGTTTCCACAAAAATATCAATCAGCACAACTGTTTTAAACATTGATGATGATAAGAAATGCTCTTTGAGCACTAAATCAATATATATTAGATAGACGTATATTAGAATTATTTCAGAAGGATCATGTGACACTGAAGACTAGAGTAATAGATGCTGAAATTTCAGCTTTGGAATCACAGGAATAAATAAAATTTATAACATATTAAAAAAGAACTATATTTTAAATTATAGTAATATTACAATTTTGGGTTAAATAAATGGTCAGCCTAAATAAACACAGATAGTCCCTGCCCATCCTTTATTTTCCTTATTAAACATATCTTAGCTGATTCAAGATACACTAGATTATAGAAGTAAAACAAGTTATCTTTGCTGGGAAATCCATTGACAATTTCATCTCTGGACATGCTACCCATTTCCATTGTAGACCTGGTGTTTTCTGGGTTTTTTCAACTTAGCGTACAATAATTTTACCCCTTTTTCTTCTGAACAGAAAACACATTTACTGAATTCCTTAGAAAGCAAACAAGCAGCACTATTTATACTTATTTTTAAGGGGAAATCTATGAGGGCCTGACAATGACATGTAAACATTACACTTGTTAGAACTTTTCACAAATATGCAACTTGCTGTGTGTCAATGTCAACTTAATGTTTCAGGAACATTTCAGCTGTGGGGTCACACCATTCAGGTGGACTGGGCCGAACCAGAAAAGGAATTAGATGAGGAAACCATGCAGCGAGTGCGAGTCCTCTATGTTCGTAATCTCATGCTGAGCACCACGGAGGAGACACTTCGCTCTGAGTTCTCACGCCTGAAGCCTGGCTCTGTGGAACGTGTTAAGAAGCTGACGGATTATGCCTTCATCCACTTCTATAACCGTGAGGATGCCCTAAACGCTCTTGAGTCCATGAATGGGAAAGTTGTTGATGGTTCGCCCATTGAGGTGACTCTTGCCAAGCCTGTCAGCAAAGATGGGAACAAAAGATCCGGGTCGCGGAGTAGCTATGGTGG